AATTGAAATAGTATTTGATATTTGTATATGTACACTACCAACACTGAAACCATAAATGAACTTATTTCATTTTTTCTTCATAGATCATTTCGAAATGTAGATTAAGTGTGTGACAATAAATTTAATTTGATTGGCCGGGTAACGGATCTGCTTGTAATATCTGATATTATAATAAGTATAATGTACACCGAATAATTAAAACTAATAAGAATAAATGTATTTAACTATTTTGCAAAATAATTTTAATTTGGTTGGTAAGAGATGTCTTGTGTTATCTAAATTATTCTATTAAGAATACATGTATTTAACTTGTTTGAAAAATCATTTTTACGGAAAGCAATCATTGTAGTGGCGGGATGGTGGCATGGCAGACCGGGCGAACCAGGTTGAGATTTTTGGCCGGCGTAGCAACAACCATGTTATGCTGATAGAAGTGTCCACTGAGAACACATTAAGAGTGGACGTGGTCATTAAAAGTAACAGCAACGGGTCACAGGAATAGTAAAATTGTTATTCACGTCAAAACTCCTTTTATGAAAGTCACAATTTTGCCAAAAACTGCATTCTAACAGACGAAAGTAGAATTCGGTCTTGAATCCGGTAAACACAAGTCTTGTCATATGCTGATTTTGAATATAATGTTGGTTGCCAAGACCAACGCGGCTGTTGCCACCATGGCAACGTAAAACATTTATGAGGAGATGCTTTAATGAGAGCAGGTAGAAAGAAAATGATTCATAAAACATACTGTCCAATTAAGCGAAGAATCTTGAATGGGCATTCGATTCAGGTTATTGGTATAAGTATTATTAATCGGCAGCATATACACCTTCCCAAAATAATATTGGCAGATGCAATTGTGGTCTTTTCATTGAGATTTCTCCACTCCAATTATACCTTTACGTTTTATATACAATCAATCACCGTGTTTTGGGATATCTCTATTGAAGTCATGCTGGATGATTATGTTGGCTATGATAAATTTCAAGTTCACCGCTGTTATTTGTTTAATTGCACCATGAAATTTGTTTAGTTCCATGGCTGCCCGAACAAGTATCGTCTTTGATAACATAGAGAATCAAACAATTAGACTGAATGTAGTTTATACAATGGGTATAAACTTGATATGTGACTGATTTACTAGGCCGCTTATTGGAGCATCGACCTCATCCGGCTGATCTGCACTGGCTCGGAAGATGAATTCTGATTGGCTAAAAAAACAAAAAAACTTGTGGTGTTGAATGCACGTTCATTGTCAGTATTGTTATGCAAATTCAAACTAGCTAATCATTTACAACCTTCCGAGCCAGTGCAGATTAGCCCACCCATGGAGCTCCATGGCCCACCTCAGCTTACAACAGCGGTCAGAGACATTGATGGCGGTCGAGTGCATGTCATTAATGGTCTCATGCCACTAATCAACCAATGGCT